CGGGATGCGGGCGGATACGGCGCGGCCCGGCAGGCGCCGCCGATCAGCCCCCAGCGGCCGCCGCCATGTTGGCCCCGGGCATGTGACCCGCCGCCGAGCGGGTGAAAGTTCACCAGGAAACCGGCGGGGAGAGGCGCGAAAGGAGGAAGTTCCCATGGCAACCGACAGGCGGCAGCAAGGCCCAGCGAGCCCCGGCCAATCAGGGCCCAGGGGCGGCTGGAACCCAGGGGCACCTGGCCAATCAGAGAGCAGGGGTAACTGGGACCCAAGAGTGCCTGGCCAATCAGGAATCAGGAGCCACTGGCACCCAAGGGCACGTGACCAATCAGGGCCGAGGGGCAACTGCAAGCCAGGTTTCCTTGCCCAATAGGGATTGGGCGTCCTTTAGGCCCAACAGCACTAGCCAATCAGGGCCCTGGGCCCAACTGTAACCCAGAGGTGCTGGCCAATCAGGAACCAGGGGCAACCGCTCCCCAACTCTTCTTGCCCAATAGGGATTGGGGGCCTTTGAGGCCCAAGGGCACCTGGCCAATCAGGGCCTGAGGGGTAACAGACCCGAAGGCAGGTGGCCAATGGGGGCCCAGAGGCCCCTCCACGGTCCCAGCCCCGCCATGGAGCCCTGGGCCCTGCCTGACCCAGCCCCTGGGGGCACCGGCCCCGGGGCGAGGCCAGGCCCCGGGGAGAGGAGCCCCGGCCTCCCCGCCTGTCCCGCAGGCTGAGCACGGCCTGAACGCCGACCCCAGCTGCGCCCCGAGCTCGCGGGTCTCTTTCCCACCTCTGCTGCACAGCCGTGGTGGGGGACGGCTCCCGTGGACCAGCCTGAGGGGAGGACAGAGCCAGGGGCTAGAAACTGGGCAGCGCAGGCTCCTGCACAGGTTAAATCCCATTTGTTCCCCCCTCCGCAGACTCCCCAGACTTTGTTTCTTGGAATCAAACCTACATCTTGGGTCTTCGCTCTGGCACCTGACAATCTGCCGCTCCTTCTTCAGAGGGAAAACAACAACAAAAAACCCCCCGATATGTTTTGCTGTATCAGAAGACGATGGGTGGTCAGCAAGTTCAGGTGCTGGCTGGTAAGCTTTGTGCAGCGCTGACCTGCATCGTACATCCCAGCTGTGTCTGCAAGCTGAAATGCAGCTGTATTTTTGTACATGTGCTTACTTACAAAATCAAAGCTGCTGATTGTTAGTTTTACCCTTTTAATTAATTAAGCTGTCTTTCAGGAGGCATGCTCACCGCTGAGCTCAGGTGGAGGGAGGTGAGCCTTTCCTGGAGAAGGATTTTAGGCTTTCGGATATACTTACTCCACATGTTATTCAGTCACAAATATTCTGTGGGCTCAGCTGACCCACGCAAGGTGGTCTCCCTCCAAGCCTGAAATGCTATCTTTGCAGTACAGTGAATGACTTACAATTTGCTGTTGATTTTTCCGCTGGGGATTCAGGGTTGTATCTAAATCCAGCTAAAACGGCTTTATTTTTACTCAGAGCGCAGGAAAAGCCCCAACTGACAAGACATCCTCATCTCAGAGGAGCACCCACCACGAAGCTGTATCACAAGGTCCTGCACTACAGCAGCTGCCACCACCTCGGTCTGATCGGTGTCCACGTACCAAACTCCTGCAACCAGGCTTGGCAGAGGGGAGGCAAGGGGATCCCCCCTCCCCACGTCCCGGAGCCGCCCCACCGCCTCCACTGCAGCTCCCTCTCAGCGCAGTCCAAGCGCTGTGCAAGCCCGTGTTCCTGTAGCGCTCCTATTCATAAATCTCCTTCTTCCCTAAATATCCCCATGGTAAATAAGCATGAGGACTAAGAAAACCAAGCCACAGAAATTCTGAAAACCTACACGCCAATAACTCACGTTCTAGCATGCTACTAATACGCTGTATATTCACGATTAGATCACAGATAACACAAGGGACATTCATAACTCCAGCACACCTCTGCATATGGAAAGCTAAATTTTGCAGCCCTTAAAGTCACCACCATGAGAGTCTTCTGCTCTGCTTCCTGAGCATTTTACTTGGTAAGCCGGGAAGACTGACGTCTCCTTCCTATTGTGGCTTTATTAAGGATACGCTGAGGCTTTACACAACCCTGGCACCCACTCTGAGGTCCCTTTACACTGCCAGAGCAGCATAACGCAGCCAGCACAAGCGTAAATGAAAATCTGGCCCCAGAGGTCTTTTCTCCCTGCAGTGCAGACTTACAGCTCTCATTACACATTTGCATTAAGGGCTGCAACCCTCCATAAAATACTCTCACAAACTTAAAACACATTAGAGACTAGCTAGACTCAGCACATAGAGGGGGCTTCTGCTGAGAATATTTGTCCTCACGTATGACATAATAAAAATTTTTAGGAACAGAGGACTGCAAGGGACCACCAATTTCACAGAGACTGAAGTCTGGAGGAGCAGGAAGAGAGAGGTGTTTCCAACAAAGGGGGCCACAGCAGAAGTCTCTTCCACACCCTTTCAGAAAGAACATGATTTATTTATTAGCCTTAATAAACAGGCAGGAAAGAGAGCAGGATTACCCGATTCAGGCATTTCTGTATCTTCTGCAGGGTTTTGCTTCTCTTACTTTGTACCAGGGCTCATTGTTCATACAAGGGTAAAGTGACTTGTGACCCCAAGTTATAACTGAAGGCTACATGGGAATACGTAGCAAACAAGGGAGGATCTGGCCCATTATTTGATTATATAACCAATAAATAGGACAGAGGAGAGAATAATGGGCAACAAATGTACAAATCTGCTACTAACGAGACCTATCTTCAGGAACGCATGCTTTAACTGCTCGGTTAGATTCCCAGCACTGGTCACCAGCCTCTCCCTCTGCAGATCCAAACGCAGACCTGGCACGCGCGAAGTGGCCGCTGCAGGAAGGCCTGGCTCTCTGCCTGACCCTGGGCGCAGGGTATCGCTGCAGAGCTCTGCAGGATACAGGGTGACAGGCGCATGCCAAGTTGCTACAGCCATGGCCCACCCAGCCTGTCCACACAGCAGGTAGAGCCACGCTTGGGGCTGTGCTGAAGAGTACCATTAATTTATCTGCTGCCTTTCAGAGCTTACTTGAAGCCAGTGGCTGAGTGCAGGCTTGCAGCCAAATCGTTTGGATGTGTGTTGAGTTGGAGTCAAGTGTGCCAGCCCACCCCAAAAATACAGACAGAGTTACGACAAGCAAAGTTGTACTTGTGCTGCTGCCTTTCTCTTCTTTTCTTGCTCCATCTCCCTCAACTTTTACTCATCGAGTCACAAGTCAAGACCTGTGGCTCCTCTGGGCAGAGGGTGTTTTATAAAACATGCTGGCATGGCTGGGGATGATCCAAAACCATTTCTGTTTTGGGTGGGAGTCACGAGTCAGTTTGCTGGGCAGTGGCACACCAGTGAAATGGAGAATTTTGGCCTGCTGCAGGCTGACATCATTCACTGTTCTACAAAAAAATCACTTCTCTGAAAGCGTCCTGGTGGCACAGGGTAAGTAACAACAAACATAGCCATGGCAACGACCGAGATGACGAATATAATGCAACAGAAACCTCTACAAAGATTTAAAGCGGTTTTGCATGGCTGTGGTTTAACGTCGGAGCTGGGATGACTCTGCAGACAAAAGCATGGCTTTGTAGCCGTGTGAGGGACCAAGTGCTCACGTCCCCCCGCTGCAGGCAGGTGAGCTGGGGCACCGGTGCAGAGCCGAGAGCCAGGCTCTCACACACAGAGAGCTGCGGGCACTGGGGCAAACTGGCTCCTTGCCTAAAGCCGAGACCAGCGAGAGCATCCACCTGCTTACCTGGTATCTGTCCGAGTGATGGATGTCATCTGAGGAGTGGGGTGATGCTGTCGGAGAATCTCCTTCCCGCTTGATTGAGGCCGACAACAAAATTGACTGCAAGAGAAAGGAGAAATTCATGCTGTGAGCGTCACCGAGCTCTCTGCCCCTCGCTAAGCTGCCCTCAAAGCCACGGAGAGCGTCTGCCGGGCTGGGGGGCTGCACTGGGACAGACTGCCGGGCTCTGGGGCTGGCTTTGCTCTTCCCGTGGGACCGTGCCCCACGAGGGGACTGGGTTGCAGGGTCTAGCCAAGTGCAAATACATCCGGTAACAAAGGGACGGTCATTTTGTCCCCAGGTCTGGTGGCTGGGGGCAGAATCAGTCCCTGCTGGAAACGATGCGTCAGGACCACACCAGAAATTCACACGGTAAGGCGAAGGTGTGCTGACGTGGAGTGGTGCTAACGCACCCTCGTCCGCCCCTCTTAAATGCCACTAAATCTCTCAATAGCTTTGTAAACTGCACTAAAGCTCTCAGCACCTTTGCAGCGCAACTACCTCTTCCTTCTGTAATGATGCTATTTATTTTAATAAGTAGCACAGAAAAAAAGGGCCTTTTAGAAGGTTAAAAAGATCAGTGATATTTGAGACCTAAGAAATCACTGATAAACTTCAAGTCAATAGTAGGTAAGTCTAAATTCTACACACAGTGAACTCTAGCGGGAAAATTACTGTGGGAGTTTGACAGCATCTAAAAAAATGTACACCGAGTTGCAAGTGAACTTTATTATTAGAAGATTTTGAGGGGAAAATGCAATTTAAAATTCTAATTTCAAATATAAATTAGCTAAGCTAGGCTAAATATAGCCCAGCACATTGTAAAAAATGTACAGCGGAAATGCAGCTCTCCAGATGTTTTTTTCTGAGAATCAGCTGGCGAGATTCGACAATAAATGACTGCTCGGAGATGTGTGTGTTTGCGAAGGGAAGTGTAGATATCATCTGAATTGGACAGGTCAAGTGTGATGACAACATTATTAAAAAGCATAATACCTTGGAGAAAGGCAAGTATTCCAGAAACATTTGCCTCTGGGCTGAAATGAAACGTGAAAAAATGTGCATTTTTTGGAAAGATATGAGCAAGTCGAAAAATGACTCAGCATACAAATCGGTTCAGTCAGCAGGATGCGATCCCCCGGGCTTGGACAGCTCTCCCGGCGAGAAAAGCATGGCAGCGCAGTCAGCGTGGGCATGGAGGGAGGGCATGCTCGGGACGGAGGCGGGGGAGGAGGATTTGGGATGCTGGGTTCAACCCCACAGGCATGAGCTGCCAGCCCTGCCATGAGGGCAAGAGCCGCATCCCTGTCTGCACTGCAGGTCTCTGCCATAAAACATGGCTGTAGGGGCACGCAGCAAGGGCTGGCCCAAGAGAGCAGCCTCTGCTTCCCAGGAGAGGGACGGGCAGAGCAGGAGGTTCTCCTGCCTCATGTGTTGGCCAAACCCAACTGGCGATCGGTTTTGGTGAGTGGCTCATTTATTTCTGGAGAAGCCCTCTGATAACCATGCAAAGCTGAGTGCAGACCTCAAGCTCCTGCTGTTGTTTAGTTTCTTATTTTCTAAACAGAGAATGAGGACCATTTCTGAAGAAGCAGGATTGCACATGTCCTACAAAACAGAGGGATAGGGGCTCAAAGCCTTCAGTTGTGACTCAGAACAACAGCCCTGACTGCAGCGGTGCTAATGCCCTTTCCCTCCTCTAATAAGCCAAGCACCCCAGAGCTGGGAGGGTTAAATCCGTTTTGTCTTCCAATGTATTCTAGAGAGAGGGAAAAAATACCCATCTCCCCATTCCTCGGCGACAGACAGACAAACCCTCCCCGCCTCCAGCTCCCCCCTCAGCTTCTGGTAGCTCTAATCCAATATTATTATGTGAAAAATGGTTGGGCTAGCTATGGAGACAGTAAATTAAACGTTATGTATTAGTTTTTAGCGTGTGGTCCCGGGAAGAACGCCGGCCCCATTTATTCCACAAACCTCCTGAGCACCATGGCGATGACCTCTGGAAAAACGCAGGGCTAAACTAATCCCAAAGATGTCAATCTCGAGGCCTCTTCTACATACACTTGCAGTTTAGATTAATAAACTGTCTATTTTTAAATTGTGTGCAAGCACTTCAATTCTAAATACCTCGCCGGCATGTTAAACACAGCGTTAGAGATGCCAAGTCACACTTCCCCTTCACTCTTAGGAAACTTGACTTCATTTGTTTTTCTCATTTCTGTGCGCTGTGCCACACTTTGCCTTTCAGGCAGCCATGGGGGCAGGCAGGGATGCAGGCTCAGGGGCTAAGGGATTAGGAAAGGCACTCGCCATCAGGGTGACTTTCATTTCTGCATTAGGCCAGCCCCTCTGCCATCCCAATTTTGGCCTCTTTTTTCCCAAATCGTTGTGTTAGGGCTGTTTCTCGATGGCTAAGTGGCGAGGATGCATGGCCACAGCACACCAAGCCAATGATTTGCAGCCCCCTGCACCCACACCGCTCACTCCCAGCCGGGTCCCAGCAAGCAGGGAAGAGGCAGCGATATGATCCCCATCCCTCTCTTGACTGGCATCTCGGAAGATGGCTGCAGAGAGAAAAGGCGGCTTTACACATGGTCTCCCAGCCCTCGTGCGTGCCCACGCTGCAGGGCAGACCCAAATTCTGGCTTCCCACCCCAAAAACGCATCGCTGGGTGCTCTGTGTGCAGGCAGGCGTGCCGTACGGCTGTGCGGAGATGCTCCCTACCTCGGGAACCAGCCTCTTTGGCATGGTGGGAACAGGCCTTGATGCTGAGATGTCCCTGTTCCCCCTGGGGAAAGGCCACCAGCCAGCTCATCCCTGCCTGGTTGCCAGTTCAGCCCAGCTCCCCTTCAGGGTGCGTCTGAGAAGGGCTATTGGGGGGAGAGCACCCTCCTCCCTCCCCGGTCCCTCCTCCCCTGGCAAACCACAGCTCCCAGCATCAAAAACAGAGCAAGGGCCTTGTGAGAGCAGTCGTGCAGCCTCGTATTTCTCCCTCCCCTTTAAATCATCTCTCCATTGGGTAAAGGCACTCTCTGCGGAGGTTATAAACCCTGAGAGGATCAGCCTGAGCGTTACACCTGGGGCAAGCTAAATAAAAAAAGGTCACCGGCGCTTTTTAAACATGGACAAAAAAGCAGTAAAATGTGTTTGGAAAAAAAAATCTGGCATTAAATCATGACTTTTTGCCTGGCTTGCCTCATTAAAAGTGGCCTTTTGGAAGGTAAAATTATCATTGTAAGTGATAAGATCTTTAAGAAAATAATTCACGGCTTCTTCACCCTTTAATATGATAGCCGCCACCGGCTAATTTTTTTCTTAATGGCAACGAGGCCATCAATCTTGTCCAAGCCATGTATTCCCTCCTTCCTCCTGCCCCTGCTGCCGTGCTGGGCAGCCATGGCCCCGCTTGGCATTTCCTTCCCACCCCTTGGAGCACAGCTGTGCCGTGCCAAGGGGAAGAGACGTGTCTGGGTGTACGGCTTTACCCGCCTATGTCCACGGATCCGGGCTCTCCCTGGGGATGCGGCACCACAGGAATCAGAGGCCGCGTAAGCCTCCCTCACGCTGCGAGGTTCACACCCTGGTAGCTCCCAACACCCTCCATGGACTGTGCAGTTCTGCAGAGCTGGGTTGCAGCACCTGCAAGTGTTTCAGCGATCTCATTGCAATTAGGAACAACATATAGTTTATGTATAGAAATACACGGGCAGGTTTGGCATGAATCAAATATGCATCATGCAGCTGGTGTGCCTGCTGCTGTGATCCCAGTCCATCGCTCTCCGGACCTGCTCCTCCCTGCTCGGGTGGAGGAGCCACGGGCAGCTCCGAGGCGATGCCGGCAAGGGCATGCGTGCCAATGCGCCATCAGCTCCTGACCTACAGGCACTCGAGGCGCAGGCCCAGGGCAGCACGAGGCGAGGGGACGGGTGTCAGGGTGCAGCCGCCGGCCCGAGGAAATGGATGGAAATTGCCGGCACACACCGCCCCCAGCCCTAAGCGCTGCCTCTCGCCGGCAGCCGGGGCAGGTGTCAGCGCTGGGAGAGCCCAGCCGGTGCCGCTGACATTCTGCTGCCTCTCAAGGCCAGTCATTTGAGAGTATTAAAGTGCTGGACTCCTGCTTTCTGATAGCCCTGGAAAAACACAGGGAGTCTATTTTTCTTAAACAATCCATCACAGCTGCTGTCAGCAGAACAAATACCCTAACCCCGCTTTTTATGTATCTATATGGTCTTTTTTTATTTTTTTTTATTTTGGCACAAAGTGTTCCCTGCTTGATGCATTCAGCTTTAACTCTGCCGTCTAAATAGGTACTTATCACTTAACATGGAGGTGATGGCTTGACATGTTTTCTGTCTCCTGCCCTCCCCTCCACGGTAGGGAAGCCGTCAAAGTGTTGCTAATAGCTGTTATCACTTGAGAACTGTAACCCGAAAGCAATGAGTGATACCAGGCCTTGCTGCGATTTTCCCCCTTAACTCTGCTAGCCATTTTTTATGTTACTGCTGTAGGATCCCTGACACAAAGATGCTACTATTAGAGCTGAGTTTCTTAGAAGCTTTCGGAGGGTCCACATTTGCTCCTGGGAAAGTTAGAGGTAAAATTATCTAGTGGCTTTTAGCTGGCAGAGATAAAGGTGGGATGGAGCTGGGGATGAAAGGCTTAAATGTGAGAAGGGTGGGAATAGTGAACAGAAATAATGGTATCGGCAGCTTCTGGACTTCACTGAAGGATTCCAGTGGTCCGCAAGCAGAATAAGCTTACAGAAATGTGAGCTGCTGATTTATTTCTGTGCATGTACGGTCACACCTGGGATTGCAATCGAGCTCTGGGTCCCCTTGGGTGAGACACCAGCTACATGGTGGTGAAAGGGGCCCCTTCCAGCAGAACTGCCCGTTGGGGATGGAGGGGGAAAGAGGTCTGGCCAAGGTCTGCCGGGGTCTGCCAGCCCATCCGGCTCCCCTCCAGGACCACATCCCTCTCCGCTCCTCCTGCTGAATGCAGTGGTTTCCCCTGGACTAATGGAAGGGCACAGCTGTTCAGCCCAAGGGGAGCGAGG